CAAGTATTCCAATGCAAGTGCGAGGGTTTATGAAAGGAGGGAGGGAAGGAAGGAGGGGGAGGGAGGGGAGGAAGGAGGGGGAGGGAGGGGAGGAGGGAGGGGGAGGGAGAGGGAGGGAGGGGGAGAAATGAGTATATTTGTACACACTGTTGGTGGGAATGTAAATTAGTATGTTCATTATGGAAAACTGCATGGTGGGTTTTCAAAAAACTGAAAATAGAATTACCATATGATCCAGCCATCCCACTTCTGGGTATTTATCTGAATGATTTGAAATCAGTATGTTGAAGAGATTCTACACAATTAGGTCCACTGCTGCACTATTCACAACAGCCAAGTTATGGAATAAATCTAAGTGCCCATTAATAATGAGTGAACAAAAAAAATGTGGTACAAGGTCTTCAAAAAGATCTAGAAATCCATATTCTAGACTTTGATAGTAATACTTAGCCAATTCAAAGTTATTCTTTTGTTCATTTGTTTGATTCTTTATCTTGTGGCTCCAGGCTTAAGAGTTATCCTCTCCCTTACTTTGCTTCTTCCTCACCCCAGAGGCTATGCCAATGCTCATGATGTGGCTATACTTTCAGCTGTTGGCCATGCATAAGGATCTAACCCCTGAAGTCTAAGGATGTAACATCTGTGGTTTCAAGTATTCCAATGCAACTCCAAAGGTCCATGACATGAAGTAATTTTTTTATTTTGATAAGAGAATATATTTAAAGCCCTTAGGCTATGAGGAAAGTTTTGAAAGTGAGAATGAGCAATTTTGATGCTAGAAAAATTCCTAGCATCAGCATTATAGCAAACCATTGTAATTTTCCACTTATCATTTATTGTTTGATTTATGTAATTCCTAAGATGTACTCCAGTATTACTTGTGAGTACTTAAATGTACTCCAGTGTTATCTGTGACATGGCACACTGAGAAAATCATAGGCTATCAATCTTCATGAAAATAACTATAATAATGCAGAATTTTATGTTAATGGACAGAATTCCTAGGCAGCAATTGCTGAAGGTCAAAGAAAGGAAAAGTCACCAAAGGAAAAGATGTAACATAAACTGTAACCCCTAACTCCCTTAGGAAAAGTCATATAACAGAGTTGCCTACCTCCAGGTAGTAAATACTTTGGAAGAGGTATCTGACAGATCCTATCTGTTTATTGTTGGTCCTTGCCCTCTACTCAACATAAACTATATAATGTAGGAACTATATGTTTAATTCATTCTTGAGTCACGAGCACCTAGAACTGGGTGTGACTCACCATACTTTCTCAATAATATCTATTAATAAATCAGTTAATGTTAG